TCACAGGAGAGGGATGGAGGAGCTCATTGGATTGGCACAGTGGAGACTCTTGGCGATTGTGCAAAGAGCAGTAGTGTCAGAGGACCGTGCGAAAGGAAACCAGACTGGGAAGTGTGACAGAGTGAGTGGGAAAATGAAGTGGAGGTAACAAGAGTAGACAACCCTTTGAAAATGTTTTGCTCTGAAGGGGAGCTATGAGGGAGTTCACAATGAATGCAAGGGAAGGAAGGATTATAATACTGGGCTATGGAATCTTGGCTGGACTAGAAGAGAAATAAAGATGGGGTGATAGTGAAAAGTGGGGATCAGTGAGTTGGCAGCCTCAATAGGGTTGAAGAGTTTTTGCAGTGATGGTACTAGGTGAAGTGAGTTGAAAGGATAGGAGGCAGGATCTAAGCAAGGAAGCTCAGACTCATTGTAATGCTCACAGAATGGAGAAGTAGTTATTCCTAAAGATGAGTTACAGATAAATTAATTACTATGGGCATTGCAAGGAAGGAGAAGTTTACTTTCTACTGGAGTGGAGAGAACCAGGAGAGGCCTCCCTTAGGAGGAAATATCTGAACTGGAATTTGGACGTGTTGACATGTGGGGGTGGGGAAGGCATCTCCAGTGGAGCCAGTACATGAGCAAAAGCAGAGAGATTGGAAATTACAGGAAAGTACAAAGAAACACATAGATGCTCTACTAAATAGGTCAGCTTGGCTGAAAGGTGAGTTGGGACCAAATGGTTGAAGAACTTCCGTGCCAAGGAATTTCGAAAGCCATTGATTAAATCCATTATATTAATATGCAATCAATACTCATGATAATATTTAAATTATCTCAATGCTTCCTTACATGCTTCTGTTTCTTTTAAATCACGTTTGTTCTCTTGGTTAGCTGGGTCCTCTTAATACCCTCATAAAGTCCATGGATGGGATTGGTAAACCCCAGTTTACTAGCCCAGGAATAGGAACCCAATAGGCATCATCCATAATGGATGGGCAGGTTGATTGGCCACACCTGAGGAAGATGGTGTCTCAAGGCCCATGGTCCTTATCCCAAACTCTTCATCTTCATTGAATCTTCCCTCTACCTGCAGGATCCTCCAGTGATGCAACCCATGCCCATCATCCCCTGCACCCTCACCTGATGCAGGAACACATGGGCACCAACGTCATTGTTGCCAACACGATGCCTACTCACCTCAGCAACGGACAGATGTGTGAGTGGCCCCGACCCAGGGGGCAGGCAGGTGGGCAACTTGGATTCTATTCAGGAAGGGGTGAGGTTGGGACCTAAGAGGGAGCCAGGGTAGGGATGAGGGATGAGATTGTATATTTGTTAAGGCTGCTATTCAGTAAGGTGATTGATAACCTCTACTGAATGAAGCTGTCCTTGGGATGGGGTTATCCACTAGATGAGTTGCCCGTTGGGTGAGGATATCCATTAGGGTGGAAATTCCATTAGGTGGTGTGCATTGGTAAAATTGTTCATTAAATAAGGCTTCTCATTGGTTAAGGCTATCCATTAGACAACTGAGTGAGATTATTTATTA